GCTGTTTATCGATATTACGGCGGTACGCAAGGACGACGAGCGGAGGCAGAATGATCGCGAGCCTGGGGCATTGATGTGCAAGGATGGCCATCGGTTTGATGTAGGTGGCGCTTGAACTGGTGACACAACAATGTGGCTGACCTGGGGTTAGGAAACCGAGATCTTCCCACTGCGGAACAGTTACTTCGAAGATGTTCCGGTCAAGATCCCGTTTGAATACGTTCGTCTACTAAAGAAAGAATACGGGTCGAAGTCGATGACTGCTTCCGTGTTCCAAGGGTATGCTTCGATTTATTGTCAATCTCTTCGCTCTCACTAATGCGTGGCACAGATACCATTTCAACCAACAGACTCAAGTATGGGATAAGATGAGGTAGGTTTGATGCGCTCGAGCCATTCGCGATTCTTGCTTACATGTTTCGATTTAGCCGGAAGAGGCACTTTGGGCGACGTGAGACCGACATTCCCGTTCGGACTACGCCCCTCGGGCGCCTGTTCAGGGGTTGATCGTGCGACTGTATGATATCGATCGAGCTCCCTTGATGCGCTTGTATCACGTCGGGCTTGTGTATGACGGTAACGATTTGAAGTGGCCCAGCACCTAGACTTTTGACTTTAATTGCATATACGGCGTTTGCCTTCGGTGCGCTACCAATTCCGCATGTTGGCTATATATGGCGTTTGGGAATGTTTCTATATATACTCTGGATCTTTTTTCTTTACTCTGGGACATGGGACATGGAATACCGTTTGAAAATGTGGTCGCCCATAGTTAGATGGGCTGCTGAGCATCAAAGCCCGTTGTGTGGCTTCTGTGAACATACTATATAATGCGACTTACTACCTAGTAGTACTACACAATGGTGTGAATGTATATAGAGGGGGCCGGGGGGGGGGGGGGGGCTCAATTACAATTAGAGTGATGTCTGCAATCAAAATAGAAGTTACTCGTGTGACATCCTTGCTGTTTTCGTCTTGGCTCTACACTGTTTTCCAGCAGCCAACTCTTAAGCTTGGGCACTACCACAACGATCTCCTATTGACGAACAAAAGATGAATAAATATGAACATCTGTCATAAAAAGTTGTCTAATGCACTCGAATTCATGAGAAGGACTGATTGTTCCTTCTGCAGGATCATCCTGCAGATAGATACCAAGTTAAACTGGATTACAGTCTCCTCCGCGGACCACCCGCGGACCATCCGCGGACTGTCAAGGAGACTGGTGCAGTTTGAAACAAGTACAATCGGAAAAAGCTTGGGCGTCCGGAAATAGAAGCGTGTTGACTTGGCGGACTTTGGGGGTTAACTCCGGGGTTGATCAGATAACTACGGAGTACTGTGTGTGGACAATCCGGTGGTGAGAATCAGCAGCCCTGACCATCTGGAATGACGGTATCTGGCTAGTGACGTGTGTCCGTACACTGACACTGCATGATCGCCCCAAATCCCGCAGCCAACAAAGTCCGAGAAAAGGCGCCGTCTCAATCTTATCCTTCTTTATCTTTTCAACTAATTCTTGCCCTACACCTCCTCATCCACGTGATTGTTCAGATGGGATTAGTAAAGCAGGGCTAGACATGACCAATCACAGACCCCTTAACCAAAGCGACGGGTCCAGAACAGGCCGGGTGTAGCCAATAGCGAGAGACCATCCATCCCGGGGTTCCACTAAAGTATGAGTCGATGACTGAAGATCCAAGTCAGGCGCGACAAGTTGATAATTTATCTAACCATTATTGTTGAAGTTAAATCCTTTATTTCTCACTCTGCTTTTTCTAACCGCTCTGTTCCTGTTTTTCATGTCCATCAATCGTCTCCTGCTACACATTCTCCTTGCGTGAGGATGAGGTTTGGTGGGGTTCCTGTCATTATCAGCAACAGTTCCACGTCATGTCCACTTCGTCTGTGATCTCACTCTCAGCCCCATCGTCCCTCTCGCCCAGGAACGGGTCTGACGTTGTGCCTGGCCCGCATACCAGCCACGACACCCACGGCATCCCTTCTCATTCCGCACAAGACCACAGCTTGCGCAGCTGCATCACCTGCCGTCGGAGAAAAGTTCGCTGCAACAAGAAAACCCCTTGCTCCAACTGCGCCAAGGCCGGGATCCAGTGTATCTTTCCCCCACCAGGAAGGGCACCGCGCAAAGTCAAACGACCACAAGATGCGGAGCTCCTGTCTCGTTTAAGGCGCCTCGAGGGCGTCATTGAGCATCTCAGCGAAAAGAAAGCGACCGGTGCTGCGGTGTCATCTCCTGATACGCCTTCCCCGCGGGTACAACAGCATCCTCAAAATCCACCCGCACCCCCAGCCAATGCGCAGGCTTCGGTGCCTGATGGTGATGGTGATGGCTGCCCGCTTCTTATGGATGCAGCCAAGCTGGATCCTACCAGGCCGATAGCGCCGCGGAACATTGAGCATGAGTTTGGTCGATTGGTTATCGACGAGGGTCGAAGCCGTTATGTTAGCAATCGATTCTGGGCGAGTCTCGGAGATGAGGTGATTATCCCTGTTTTCTTCTTATCTTGTAATGATGCTAATGTCGATAGATCGAGGAACTGCAAGATATTCTAGATCCGTCGTCTTCGGACGAGGAAGACTATCCGTCTCCTGAGACATCGTCAAGCCATTCGGCCAACCATGATGGGTTTTTATTCGGGTTCTATTCTGTTTCACACTCACTACACGATTTTCTACCGCCGAGATCCCAAATTCCCTTATTATGGAATACCTGGTTGGAAAATGTGGCGCCCTTGATACCAATCGTTCATAAAGCAAGCGCCAGGCAGCTATTTACTACAGCTGCCCAAGATTCAAACAGTTTGGATAAGAATTTCGAGGCACTGTTTCTTGCAATGTGCATGGTCGCAATCATCAGCATGTCGCCAAGCCAGTGTTCTGCTCACCTGGGAGAAGAGAGGGACGTGCTTGTCAAGCGATACCGGTTCGCAGTCGAGCAGGCGCTATCCAAAGCGGATCTCTTGAATACTCAAAATATCACTCTCCTACAGGCTGTGGTCATATTCTTGATCGGCGTTCGTCGAGAAGATGACACAAAATTTGTTTGGTCTATGACAGCGCTTGTTCTTCGCCTTGCGCAAGGGCTGGGTCTCCATCGTGACGGCACCAACTTCGGCCTGAAGCCTTATGAAACGGAGATGCGCCGACGACTGTGGTGGCACATCTGTTTGTTGGACATCCGCGCAGCAGAGGACCACGGATCTGATGCGCAGATTCATGAGCGGTTGTACGATACTCGACTGCCACTGAATATCAATGACGAGGACATCACGCCGGACATGAAGGAGCCTCCTAAGGAGAGAGTAGGCTGGACTGAAATGACATTTTGCCTGATTCGCTGCGATATTACAGTTGCTGTGCGTCGAGTCAGCTACACTTGTCCGAACGCCCCTTTCATTTCGGCAACCCGACAGCTCAACCCTGATAACTGCTCCAAGGTGATTCGGGCGATCAACGACCGCATTGAGGACCGATATATCAAACATTGTGACATGAATATTCCGATTCAGTGGGTCTGCGCGACGATTGGTCGCCTCATCCTGACCAAACTCTGGCTTGTCATTCATCATCCGATGACCCGGCCTGAACGGGGCTTAACGCTGAGCCATGCAAATCGCGAGAGCTTGTTTGCTACTTCAGTGGAGGTGGCTGAGTTCCAGCGACTGCTGGATGGCGACGTCAAGACGTACAAATGGAGCTGGCTCTTTGCCACGAACATGCAATGGCATGCCATTGCCTTTGTGCTGTCGGAGCTTTGTGTCCGCCCACTCAGTCCTCTTACCGACCGGGCATGGAAATGCGTGAGCACCCTATATACAGAGTGGATCAAGAACAGCAAGCAGCGGAAAGGCATGCTCTGGCGTCCGCTCTCCCGCTTGATGAAGCGAGCAACCGCGTTCAGAGCCAAGCAAGAGGAGATGCGCGCGCAGATGAGTTCCGGCATGATTGCAGCTCACGATGTCACTGCCCCAAATTGCCCTGGAATCTCAATTATACAGCCCCCAGTCCTGCCCCGAGCACTGGACTTCCAGGCTTCACCAACAACCCAAGGGAATGAACCCTTGCATGGTGTGCCTGAGAACGGCGGACTCGATTTCGATTTGCGCGACGGACCAGTCAGCGTGATCAAGGATTTATTCCCCGACACGGACTGGCTGAACCCTGCCACAACAGCCAGCATACAGCAGCAGGAGTGTTCGGGCGCGTCGATAGACACGCTAGTGAGGCCGGCGGAGCCGAGCGAGACCCAGCAGGAGATGCCTAATGCGAATCTCAACTGGGAAGAATGGGATCAGGTCATGACTGATTTCCAGATGGACCTGCAAGCGTCCAATACGCAGAATCCTTTTGGCAATGCCCTGGACTGGCTTGCTTGATGATGATACCAGTAGTGTTGATACCTTGATGGCCCTGGTGGCTATTATCGGCATCATGAAGATGCCTCTGTACTGAATGTCTCCTCTCTACACGACCACCAAAACCTCTCCATTCACGATAATGAGAAATTTAGCTAGGAAATGAGCTAAAAGCTAATGATGAATTATGTATGTACTATGTACCTTGCAATGCAGCCGAGGCAGTACTTTTACCTGTATACCTACACCGTAGGGAGTATAGCAACAATGACTGAACATAAACAATCATATTAATTCCCTAATCAGAATCCCATCATTATTCTCCCCTTAAACTAAACAATCCAGCCAATTATTTCTCTAATAGAACAATAACAACAACCCCCGATCTATAAATCACGTGACACCGCGTAACCACCACCCGCCCAGGACAGGCCAGCTTGCGTAACTATACCTCCACCTACCTCCCCTTCCCCAATCCTTCTTCGCCCTCAACCCAACCCCGACCTCAATTCCATTCTCCCCGATATTAAAGAAGAATAAATACAGATACACAACATGGCCCCAAAACGCACCGCCGCACCAGCAACAACAGGCCCCGTCCCCGCGCCCTCACCACCCACCATGCCCTCCGCATCATCCTCCTCCGCACCCGCAGCATCCTCCTCTCTCTCTTCCGGCCCCAAAACCCTCACCCAGAACTCCTCTATCTACGACATCGCCCACACGGTCTGGCAGCAGTATTTGGCTACTACGCCGCAGCGCACAATGCTGCTTGATGCGTTCATGGGATTCTTGGTGCTGGTTGGTGGTGTGCAGTTTGTTTATTGTGTCGTTGGGGGGAATTATGTGAGTTTACCCATACATTCTTCCTTTTTTTTGGTTGGGGGAGAGAGGGAAGTAATATCTAGGTGGGCAATTTGGCTAATGTGTTTGGGATACTTATAGCCGTTCAATGCCTTCCTGAGTGGTTTCTGTGCCGCTGTAGGACAGTTTGTTCTTACGGCGAGTTTGAGGATGCAGACTAGTGCTGCTACTTCGTCTTCTAGTGGGGGGAGTGTTGCGAAAGGGAAGGGAGGGAAGAAGGTTGTCAAGGGAGATGTTGGGGAGGAAGGGAGTGGTGTTTCGGCTGAGAGGTGAGTTCAACACTATTGACTTTATTACCTATTGACTTGGGGAGGGTTGGAATTGCGCTAACTGGTTTGGTTTTCTTGTGTAGGGCATTCGCGGACTATGTCTTTGGGAGTTTGATTCTGCATTTCTTCTGTATTAACTTTATTAACTAGATGCTATCGGGTCTAGTATGGATGGATATGTTTGAAGTGTGGGTGTGCAGCGGATATGATGGGAAGAGGGTGGAAAGGCAGAACGCTGGATATAAAGTGATAGGTGAGGATTGGACAGGATAGGAAGGGTGCATGCAGGCTGTTTCCCTGGTGGAGTAGCCTTGTCCGGTCTGGTTCCTATCCGGGTTGGTGAAGATAAAACAATTCGAGGATCTGTTCTTGCGTTATGTTAGCTAGCTATTACTATTATACCTGTGTATCAATGTATCGATTCTACTGTTTACACCCGGCTTCCCCACTCATATAGCAATGATATCAACTAATAATCTATTCATATATCCCTGGGTATAGTATATCCTATATTCTACTAGTATAAATCAAAAAGCCCGTCCCGGTTTGCGCTTGATCTGCGGCTTCTTCACCACGCTTCCGCCTCCACTTCCGCCATTGCGCGCACCACCACCACTACTCGACGCCGTCACACCTCCTACACGCCTTGCCGTCGCGACAGGCCGCCGTACCACAGACCCCACTTCGATCTCCTTTCTGCGTCTGGTCGGATCGTTCCTCTCCGCTTCGCGCTGCTTCTCGGCGGCTGCGCGTTCGCGGTCCGCCGCCATCTGGGTCTCGATTTCCACGCGTCGGTTGAACTCTTGTTCCGTGATGCGGCGCTCGCGCTGGGAATAACCCTTTTCTTTGACGGAGTAGAAGACGCCTCCGAGTTCGGCGAGCCACTGTTACCGAATGTCATTAGTACTTGACTTGTATCGGGGTATGTGATGGGATTCGGGGGTGGAAGTGAACTTACGTGTGGATCTACAGCAGTCACGGTGGACATGTACTCCTTACTGGTGAGGATCAATTCATGGTAGACCACGTACTCCGGGACATATCCCAGACCGTAGAGGGCACTGGTCGGGTGGAGTTGCATGCTGACGCTGGTCCGGAGGTTAAGGAACTCGCCGATACCCTTGACGCGCGCGGCTTGGTGGTAGAAACCCGAGCAGATGCATTTACGGATCTCGTCCCAGTCGGTGCCGCAGCTGACCAGGGGCATCTTCTGCACCGTCATGATGTCGTGCAGTTGGTCGCGCACTTCGCGCGCCCGCCGCAGGGCCTTGGCGTGGAGGAAGTGGCGTGTGCACCAGCCGTCGGAATAGCCGTTCGCTTTCCATTGCGTGTAGACGTGGAGTAGGGTGAGGTGGTCGGATTCCGGGACGAAGAATTTCTCGCGCGCAGCGTCGGATTCTTCTTGGCGCTCTTTGGGGCGGTAGAAGACGCTGGGGACGGATAGCATGGATACGATGGTTAGCATCTCCTCGCTGCAGCCGTAGGTTTCTGCGGCGGTGATGATGAGCTTTGCGAGCGGAGGATCCATTGGGAATGGTGTCATCTGACGTCCTAGTGGGGTGAGGTCACCGAGGTTGTCGAGTGCTCCTAGGGACCAGAGTTCGAAGAGGGAAGTGGTGATTGTTTCTTGGGGAGGGGGGTCCATGAAGTCGAAGTCGAGAAGATCTTTGACACCAAGAGATTTGAGGAGAAGGACGGTGTTGGAGAGACTGGTCCGCTGGATTTCCGGGATCGTTTGCAGGTATAGCTCGTTCTTGTACGCCACTTCGGTATACAGACGATAGGCCTTGCCCGGTCCCGTACGTCCTGCTCGGCCAGAACGCTGGTTGGCATTGGCCTGTGATATAGGCGTGATCTGCAGAGTGTCCATGCCCATCTTGGGGTTGTACACCTTCAGCTTGGAGTAGCCCGAATCCACAACGAACATGATACCGTCAACTGTTAGACTGGTTTCGGCAATATTGGTAGCAACAATCACTTTGCGCACGCCAGGCTCAGCCCGTTCGAAAATTTTGGCCTGTTGCTCCGCAGGCATCTGACTGTAGATGGGCAGAATGCTCAACTTCGGCGGATCATTCAAGAGCTTTAATCGCTCGTCAACCAGCTCGCATGTTGCTTCAATATCTTCCTGACCTGTCATGAACACAAGGATATCACCAGGACCTTGCGAAACGTGGATGGCCAAGACCTGCTTGACCGCGCTGTCAACATAGTCCTCGCAGGGTGTGCGTGAGAAATGGGTATCGACAGGGAAAGTTCTTCCGGGGATGATGAACTCTGGTGCGCCACCGTAGAATCGGGAGAAGCGTTCTGCGTTCATGGTGGCCGATGTGACAATAAGCTTCAAGTCCCTGCGTCGAGCTAGGACCTTCTTGAGAAGACCCATAAGTACATCTGTGTTCAATGCTCTCTCGTGCGCTTCGTCCATGATGATACAAGAATACTTGTCGAGGTCCTGCTGGACAAGTGACTCTCGTAGAAGAACACCATCGGTCATGTACTTAATGACCGTCTTCGGGCCTGTGCAATCTTCGAAACGAATAGCATACCCAACTTCATCACCAAGATCCACCTCCATTTCCTCACTGACACGCTTGGCAACACTCATAGCTGCTACTCGACGAGGTTGCGTACACCCGATCATGCCAAACTTTGAATAACCGTCCTCGTGCAGGAACTGCGTCAGCTGTGTTGTTTTTCCAGACCCAGTCTCACCAACTACAACCACAACCTGGTTATCCCGGATGACGCGCAACAAATCCTCTCGGACCGCGAACGCCGGCAGGAATTCCCTCTGCTCCCGAAGCGTCTTGCTCTTGCTGAACGAACTCTGTCCACCTTCATCCTTTTTCAAATGTTGGGCGAACTTGTTTCCGCTCTTGTAGGCATCCTCCACTGGCATAGCGACCGCACTATCGCCCTCATCCTCCTTTACACCCATGAGGTTTCCCAGCGCCGTTCCCGCCATCGTTGTCGCCTCCTGCGCTTGCTTCTGGCGTTCTCGCTGCTGACGTCGTTCGCGAACCACTTTGCTTCCTTTCCGACTGAAAACAGCCATGTCACTCTGCGGGTCTCGGACAGCTGAGATGGGCTCGAGCTGTTTGGTGAAGATCGTGCGGCCATCGAGGAAGGGCGGACGGAGGTCATGGACCAGCAAATGAACTCGGGTAGCTTCTTCATCTTCGGGCATAAAGTCGCCATCGAAATCGCGTCTCTGGGCGACACCAGATGTGAGCATGCGGTTCGTTTCCCAGTTGTCGATATCCTTGCGCTTTGCGTCGCGCAGCTGTGGCGGGAGATTGGAGCTCTTCAGCCTTTTGGCTGGAGGCTGGTCGTTGGAAGCCATGATGGTGTGTAATTGATGATCGAACAACACGATCGCTTGCTAGAGCAATTAATATGTTAATGCTTCGCAGGGGGCTACACCTCCCGCCGATAGTTGGAGAAGATGCAATCGCCGCGAATTGCGGAATCCATCGTTTCTATCGGAGTTGCGGCAAACACTGCAAACATCGCCGCCCGCTTCGTCACGTGTAACATCCCCTCCAGAGAGAGGCAGAAGATGGTGCGGAATACATTAATATATTAGATAGAGCTCTGGTAGTTAGTTAGTTAGTTGTAATCAATTGTACTGTTTATCCCTTGCACCTGCATTAGTAGTGGTTTGTTCGCTAGCGACGCAGACATACTAGTTGCAACAGAGCGACACCGCAAGCACCGCGGATCCATATCGAAACTCCCCGCATCGCAACTCCGGCTTTGCAACTGCACTTTCAATCAGATTTCGACATCATGGCCAGCCAAGCACAAGTCAGCCCCAAGAGGCAACAGGGTATGTCTTGTATCTATCTTGTTTTCTGTTGTCGTCTGAAGAAGCCAAGCTGATTCGAAGCAGAGCTCCAGCTCCAATACTCCAACTACAAAAACACGCTACAACAATTGGCGCAGAAGATCGGTGATATCGAGCAAGAAGCAGAGGAGCATAAGTAAGCTGACCTATTTGAAAGTCCTCTTTCTATCGAATTCCGCACAATCGTGCGCCAGTATGCGCTTGTCTGAGAATGGCAACTAACGCACACTCAACGCTAGGCTTGTTATCGAAACCCTCGACCCCCTCCCTAAGGATCGGAAATGCTTCCGGATGGTGAACGGTGTACTGGTTGAACGGACAGTTGAGGACGTCCTTCCGTCTCTCAAGACAAACTCGGACGGATTGAAGCAGGTCTTGGAGGAGCTATTGAAGCAGTACAAGTCGAAGCAGGCGGATCTGGATAACTGGAAGGTAGGCAGATTGTTCTCTGGTGGTCCACGTATGTGGGAGGTTGAATGGATTGCTAACAGTTCTGTCGCGTTACAGAAGAAGAATAACATCCAGGTTGTACAGCCTTAGAGCAACGGTGCTGGTGTTTTCTCACGGTTTCTGTATCCTCTTCATGCAGCGTTATACACTGAAAAATAATATTTCTATAGTGAAAGCATGTAATTCTAGACTTCCGGTCTGCTATTCTATGGTAGATTATAGCATTGTAGATTGATGTGAATGAGACATACAGCAAGTAAGTATAATATAAAGTAACATCATTGAAGGTAAACTTGTGGAAGGCCTGCGTTACTAATCTGCCCTTCCGCCAGTCTTCTTCTACAACTTCCATTGAGCCGACAACGTATTCATGACCCAGCATCATCAAAATGAAATCGCTTCACTGCGCACCTAAATCTGGAAATATGTGACAGCATGTCACAGCGCCGTCAATTTTCCAGTTGCGATCCATGCCGTCGCTCCAAGCGACGTTGCTTTTTCGCCTCTCCCCGAGGAGAGAAGTGTACTAACTGCCAACGACTGGGCCATTCATGCACCTCTGACTTTGCCAGATCTCGGAGGGTAAAGCCCAAGCAAGACCTAGTGCGGCCTTCCCCATCGACAAACAGCAGTGAGCTACCACAAATTCCACTTCTAGGCTTTGGTAGTCCTGGTGGTTACTATCAAGCCGGTACCACGCCCCCCGGGGATACCCTGGTCCCGGGGCTCAACCTCAACGAAGGCCATGATACACAGAAGGGCCATGACGATATCATGGACCTCTATCTGGTGAATCGACTGGCGTCGGATTTTGTGCCTCCAGTGCAAGTATCAAGCGAGGCGCAAACGTCCGTTCGCAGCAGTCTGACGGACAGAGTGTCCTACGCGATGCCATTACTTGCTGGTAGTTCACTGACGAGTCCTGTCCGCTTGCTGAATTCCAAGCTGGATGCAACAATCTTAGATAATCGGCTGGCAAGAATCTACCACGCGATCATTACGGGATGTGCTTCCCGGTTTGTGGATTACGACTGCAATTTGTATGCAACGGCGTCACGCTACCGACTGGAAGGTTGGAGTGAACAGCCCTCGCAAAGACATACGCCTGCTACTTTAGATAGTTCTACAAACACATCTTTTCCGGATACCCCAGCTTCGGTTACACCGTTGGATGCCATATCTTTTCCGGATTCAGGGATGCCATTGAACGATCTCTCCTGCACTTTTACTGTGATCGGGGCCGTCCGTTTCCTTGATCATTTCGCGGGTCTCTACGGCAATCGCATCAGTGTGACTGCGCGTAAACAGTCTGATGCTGCATTGAAATCAGTGCTTCGCACGTTCTCCCTTCAGTGGCTGCCTACCGAGACTAGATTAGCCGGTGACAGTGTCTTGCAGGACAGTGTTAATGGGATACCCACCAGCGAAGCATCCCAGAACGCATTCTACGATTCTTGGTTTCAGACACAGGATATTCTCGAACAGGCGCAATCAGTCCGGTCGTTCAGGGTTGTCTATGCCATTTTGCTATTTGGTGGTATTACCGTTCCGACTAAAGCTCCAGTCGAGTCAACACGCGAGTTCCTTGACAGCGGCCTGCAAAGCCTTTGTTCTCTGAATGAGCTTGTTAGGAAACACTGTACTACTCTGGGAGCCCACTCTATATACAGTAGTCTGCTGGAGGCCAGTCTGAATGCTGTGCATTGGGGCGGATACATCCGTGACCTTGGGGCGTCGCTCACCACAAATCGTCCATGCAGACTTCCCATTCCGGGTCACAATAAAGGTAGGCGCATTGTTATGGGCGATAAGTCTTGGATATCCAAGCTGAACTCGAATAGTGCTTTTCAGTACCGGCTCGATCTTATCCACATTCGACTGGTCGAGTAACCAAGATTTCCCTCCCGGTCTGGATGACAGCATCCCAGCTATCTGTAAGAAGGCAGTTGCTGAGGCGTTTTACATATGCAGGCAGATAGTTGAGGTCAAGAATTTACTACACTGTGATCAGTCTTTGGCTTGCATGGAGGATGTCACCTCAACAGTGGCAGCCGTGAGCAAATTCGACCAACAGTTCCGCCCGTTCATTAACTACTGCATCAACAACCTGGAGTGTCTTTCCTTACACTCTAGAACAGCTTCTGGTGGGTACTTAAACTGATTCATGTGTCCACTCACTGACAAATTGAACAGTCTCGCTCGTATTATTCTGGGATCTGAGCATCCTCATCTTAGCCGAGGCGTTGGCTCTCAGCAGGGGAAGCTACACTGTTGACGACATTATCATCGCAAGTATGCGCTCCTATCAGGCTGAGGCAATCGCATCGGTCACAAAAACAGTAGAACACGTGCTCTCGCTACCGCCAGACTCTGCCTTCAATCTTGAAAACGGTCTTGATGCTGAAGTCCCTCTCATCGCCTATCACATTACCCCGAGTTTAACGGCAACAGTCTACCAAAAGACCGTTGAAACCTTGATAAACTCTCAGCAATCGCCGCTTCATACTGGAGAGACAGCCGACGACGTTTGGCAACGGCAGGTTGATATCGTGCTGAAAGGTCTCAGCTCACACGGTGAGACCATCGGCGGAGCCGAGGCGTCCACAAGAGTTTTGCAGTCACTAATGCCGCGATATGGGGACATACTCTCTGAATGCTGGACTTCTGATTTCAGCACTTGACTGGTGTTTAGATCACCTGCGAAGTACAGCGGATCCGATATGCGGCGTTTGCTATAAGTACGGGCGAAGCTAGAAACACGATTGTGTTTCCTCTGCGGGCATTCCACCGACTTTTATTCCGTGGCTAGGGGAAAAAAGCAAATGTGAAAGCTCTGCGATCACCAAGCTTAGCTTACTTGCATCGTGTTGAGGACGCTACTACTGTTATCCCCAGACGAAGAATTCTGTTCTGGCAGTGAAGGTAAAGCCACCGCAAGCACCCTAACTCCCCAACAACCGTCTGTTACCCAGTAACTAATGCCGCTACTAGCAAGAACTATCTGAATGTATGGATAGACAGTATGTCTCATAGTTCACCTGTCACTATGCGGATACGTCATTGGAATGCTATCGGTTCCGCTCTGTCGGCTCCGACCATCGGTTCCGCAATCCAGAACTTTTCTCGAGATGCAGTCTGCTGATCCTCGATATCATCAAATAATTTTTAATATTTCAGAACAACAATCAATTGGCTTCACTCCCCCAGGGTCATTCATTCAGCATACTCAAACAACAACACCACTACACAGCTTCCACACCAGCTCCTACTATCTCGGAAATATATCCCTCCTCCTCCTACTACTACTACTACTAAATAAACTACAATGCCTACTACTACAACCTCCACCCCCCTCCCAACCCTAATCTTCATCCCGGGCGCCTGGCACCTCCCAACCTGCTACACCAAACTCATCACCTACCTCCAAACCCACCACCCAACCCTCAACTGCACGACCATCACCCTCCCCTCCACAACCGGCGACCCCAGCGCCACATTCAAAGACGACCTCTCCGCCGCCCGCGCCGCCATCACCCACGAAACCCTCCACCACGGACGCAACGTCGTCCTGATCGCACACTCCTACGGCGGCATGGTCGCCAACAGCGCCATAAAAGGCTTCACATCACCCCAAACACCCACATCCGGCACCATCATCGGCCTAATCCTCATCGCCTCCGGCTTCACCCTAACCGGCTTCTCCTTCATGGACCCCTTCCTCGGCCACCCCCCACCCTCCTGGCGCGCAAACCACACCACCGGCTTCGCCGAACTAGTCACTTCTCCCCGCGAACTCTTCTACCATGACCTCCCCGAGGAAGAAGCCCGGTACTGGGTCTCGCAGCTTAGACCGCAGAGTCTGAAAGCGCTGTTCGAGGGTGGTGAGTACTCGTATGCCGGGTGGAAGGACGTCCCGTGCTGGTATATCGGGACGGAGGGGGATAGGGGGTTGCCGGTGTTGATGCAGCGGGTGGGTGTTGGGATCGCGAGGGGGATGTGTCCTCCGGGATGGAGGGTGGTGTATAGGGAGGTGGTGGGCGCCAGTCATTCGGTGTTTCTGAGTAGGGTGGAGGTGGTGGGCGGGTTGGTTTGGGAGGCTGTAGGGGGGTTTTTGGGGAGGAAGGATCTTGGGTTCGAAGGGGACGGAAGGAAAGGAGTAAGTGATTATTGGGAGAGTCAGGGTGTGGTTGTGCCTGAGGCGGATGTTTGGAGCGTGTCGACGTGGTTCAAGTATGGTGTGCCGGCGGCGTTGGGGAGGGGGGTCGGGTGGGGGTTTGCGTTGGTTGGGTGGGTTAGGGGGTGGTGGTAGGTAGATTAGATATGTTGGTCTGTCTGTATATATATATATATCCGTAGGTGACTTGGTCTGATGTATATGTTTAGCTGTGGGTTGATGGATCACGTCCGAATCGGGTTTTTTCTTATTTGGTAGTTGGGAAATACTCTCCTCTCTCTCATGTGATTACTTAGCCCTCGGTGTATGTATGTATGATTATGGCGGTGTATACTTTAGAATTGGTAGAGCATACTGTCTGTCTGTCTGTCTGTCTGCATGATGAAATCCAGGTTGTCGATGCCATCATACTACTTCTCTCTATCATCATATCGTCTCATGTGTATCAACTACTAGATGAACGTGTTGATGTATGACTTCACCGATAGAATTCGCCAGGAAGTATATACCGAGCATACCTACATCATATTATATCCACATCAGTTGGAATGATAGGTAAATAAGTATGTACCCAAACCTCATCATCATCAGCAGCAGCCTCGACGATTGGGACACTAGAATCTCGTCGAAGTCCGAACAACTAATAGTTATATACTTATATACGAACTGCATAGATACCCGATCCCGGGGCAGTTCTTTATGCCTAAGAAACCTAAAGTAAGAAAAAAGGAATAAGAAAAAAGGACAAAAAATATTTCCATGTCTATGGTTCGTCTGTTTATTTCTTTCCTCTGTAGTAAATAGGAGCGGGCTAATGCAAACAAAAGCCCACCCACACATTTCAACATCAATTTCGTCATTCGTGATCGTCATCATGTACTCCTAAATGTGTTCAGTCCCACCGCCGTGAAATTCATTCATGGCCACACCATCCCAAAAACAAAACCAAATAATCCAAAAAATATAAACCAAAATGCAACCAACAGGGTAGATAGATAGCCCTGGTCCGTGCGCCGACTGAGTGGCGGATGTTGTTATAGTAGTAATAAAAACAGGTATATCGTAGTGGGAAGAAAAAGGGGGAGGCGAAAATATCAGAATCGAAAGGGGGTAAATGACAAAATTATGACATGGTACTCATCGAACATGGACCGTATACGCAAAACAGTGATAGCTGGGAGGCCGTGGCATGTATTGACGTCTAATGGTCAGACATGAAAGACGTCAAGACATGCGGGTGCTCAGAGACTATCGGAGAAGAAAATGAGCTTCTAGAGCGGGGAGGGTGTGAGGGTAAGAGGGTGGCTTGCTGTTGCAGCAACTGTAGACCTGACTTCTCAAGTCATCATTGACGCTCATCCAGCATATGTGGATTGCCGCCGTTCAGGGGGCGGAACCGGGTACTCCCCGTATGGCTGTCGCATGTAAGCCTCGCGGGGTGCGATGTAATCTGGCCCCACCTCTCGCGCATACCTGTACTCTTTGTCTTTGGGCGAGCGAACCTCGCCATACACAGGCCGGCTTGAGGAGTGTCGGGACACACTGGGACGAGCAGCAGACTCATAGCGCATGTGTTCTGTGGGGTAGGTGTAGGTGCTACTCCGAACGGGAGGCTTCGGCATAGGGCGTTCTTGACGTGGCGGTGAACCCCCCCTTGCGTATCTGGGGGACTTCTGGGGTAGCGGTATGCTGGGTTCTCTGAGCACGGTGTCCGGTTCCGTCACAATCTTGTAGCGAGTCGACTTGGGCGGACTCTCGCCGGTTGCCATCTCTGGCGTGCCCGGACTCGAGTAGCCTGAATCGTACTTGTCCGTTCGCAGTTTCGCGGTCCGACTCGCCTCATGAACCATGTTATGCAGTGGATTTTCGCGGCTCATTCCCCTGGGGCGGGAATGGGTTTGCGCAGCGCTCGCAGAGCGCGAGGGCTGAAGGGACGGCCGGACAGAAGACGGAATCTTCACTGACGGTGAAGTTGCCGCAGTTGGCATGCTAGGTACCTTGACTTCGTAGGATCGGGCCTGGGACCCGAGCTTCTCATATGATCCATTGCGAGAACTACTGGTCCGAACACTTTCCTTGCTCGGTCGTTTTGTGCGGCCCGAGTGTCGTGACGAGGAAGACTCTGGATCGGCGGATTCATAGCCATGATTGCGCGGGGGCGAGCGGGAGGTTTGCGGACGTCTGTCGATTTCGATCGGAACGGATCCCTTGGAGCGTTCAATGTAATCTTTAGCGGTGGTGTGTAGCTTGTCATGCTTCGACTCATGCCTCGACTCATATTCATCGGTGTACTCGTCGTCGTAGCGGGTCGAAGTGTGCCGGCGCGGGAGATCCGCCGGTCGGGACTTTCGAGAAGAGGCCTCCCGGTTGCGCCTTTCCGAGGGGCGCTTAATTTTCACATAAACCGTGGACGAGGCGCTGGAGTCAGATGCGCCGCCATCGTCTTCGGAGTCGCTGTACGGAACGGCCCGCTCATACTTCTCGTAGGCATCCCGTTGTCGTTCCCTGGTACGATATTTGGCTCGACTGCTGTGGGTCGTCCTCGAATTGTCGCGAGCCATATCCCTCGCCGCACGAGTACTAGGGCCATCACTCTTGCTCTTCTTCTTCTCGCTCGGGGGTTTGGAGGAGTATCGTTTCTTATACTCATCGTATTTTCGGGACGTTGAGCGCGACTCTTCGGAGAATTGGAGGTCGTCATCGGAATAGGTGGCTGCATCAGCCGGCGTCCTCTCCTCGTAGTACCGTCCGTTGCGATACTCGCGAGGGGCGCTGGCGCGCGGGGTGGCATAGGCCGAGGTACCATTGACCGGTACGCCTTGTTCGTGCATTTGGCGACGCAGCTCAGCCAGCCGAGCTTTCGCATCGTACTTGGCCCTTCTCGTCTCATCCGAAAGCGTCTCGTAAGCCTGCTGCACCTTCTGAAATTCATCCTGAGCCTTGCTTCTCAGCGACTCATCTTTGATCTTATCGGGGTGACATTTCAACACAAGTTTGCGATGAGCAGATTTGATATCCGACAAGGCTGCATCCCTTGCCACCCCCAACACTTCGTATGGATCGATATCTGGCGCGGCTGCCATGATAGTCTGTGTAAGACACTAGTGAAAGATGGGGTAGAAAACATATAAACCAGCCTCAATGCAGGATTGACAGGAGATTTAAATAGACAAGTATGATGATAAATGCAGAGCGACAAGAAAGCGACAAGTGCCGCGGTGTGGCGTTGTATAAGAAAGCGTGGAGGACAGCAGAAGCGGTAAGTACCTGAACGGAGGGAGGCGAAGCCGGAGGGTTGCAGCGATAGCGCGGATGTGTAAGGTACGCTGAGATGGACAAGGCGGGCGGATAGACGGCTCGATGGGGTGACGTGGGTGCTTGACGATCAATGGCGCATAGTCAGGATTGTCCCGATCGGATATGCGGCCAATTCATGGAGAAGGCCGGCGAAGACGAAAGAAGGGGAAGAAGCAGGATGACAAAAGGTAGGGTGAAACCGGCAGGTAGGAGGGGAGTCAGTTGTAGTGAATTGGGATGTGAAATTAATGAGTAATAATGAGTAAAAGGAGAGACACGGGGAGTTTATGATGAGTGAGAATATGAACCATGCAGAATAAAAGTCACTAGTAAGAGTCTGGTTTGGAGTGTGCAGCGGGTTTAAACCAAAGAGAGAGACAGAGAGGGTGGAGGGGAGGGGAGGGGAGGGGAGGGGGAGGGAAATAGCGAGGCAAAATAACCCAAAATAATAATGAATTAGTTGGTAGGTAGGTTTTTAGGTATGGTTACTGATGGATCCCCAAGTTGTATGGCAGGAAGATTCCCAAGTACCCAAGAGAAGAAAAAGTAAGAGGGGAACAGCTGGGGGCAGTACTTGGCCCGGGTAATTTCGCCCAGCAAACCAGACCCGAAGTTAGTACTAGTCAGAGTGGATGCACTCCAGTTCAATCAAGAGGGGGGGGATATTCCTATCTGGTCGGGAGAGGCGACCAGCGCTGAGGGGCAAAAGGGGAAAAAGTCAAAAATACTAAAGAGAAGGAGAGGAAAAATGCGAGAAAATCAAAAGGGATTTTCCCCCAACGGGCAAATACCGCCAAAACAATCGGACCCAAGCACACTGCGCCACGCTGCTTCAACTGGAGACCGGAAGAGTGTAAGCTAAAAGTAGAAAAAGCAGCCAAATCGACTAAGACTAAAGGATGGTCAGATGAAGTGGCACCACGTTTAGTCAGGGTTGCTGGTCGAGTGAGGGAGTGAGGGAGTTAGCTGGTCAGACGCCAACGTCGATGAATAATGGCTGATGATTGAACTAGAAGACGCTCGATGATGCCACCAGCTGCGTCTGGTTGGATTGTCCTTGCTGGGGTTTAGGCCAAATGCGAAGTATATCGGTGGTATAAGAAGTGGGCAGGAGTAGCAGCAGGGAGGACAACTGGATTCAAACAGGATTGATTGGCAACAATGACGATATAAGAGTCGGATCGTCTCGTGAATCTCTCGGGAGTGATGATGATTATGATGAGGAGGGGCAGCAGAAGGATGACTCTGAAGAGAGTAGTATGATTATGATACTCTCTGCATTCGAATTCCTGGTGCAGAGGGAGCCAACAGATGGACTGCAAAGCAGCGGTGAAGTGGGAAAGTGAAACCAACGATGGGGTCTTGTCACAATCAGGAAGCCCAAGGGCCCGCTTTGCGAGGAACAACAGCAACAACCGTCAACAGGCAAGTTGCAACAATGGAGAACCAACGATGAACGATTGGCAAGGAGCGGTCAATCATTGATGCCTTTCAGGAGGAAGGCAGGATGAAAACAGGACAATTGGTTCATACAATGTCCAAAAAGTAGATCACAGGAGGCATAAGAATACGGAATACAGGATCGAAGATTATTATTATAAAACAGCCACCAGAAGGTGATCTAGAGAATGAGACGTATCATCCTGCAAACGAAGGGAAATGAAACTGGACCTGATGTGGTACAAATACCCCGGTGGTGTTTGACCGTGGGTTTATCTCCGATCCATGAAGGAACCATTTCCATTGGAGGGATTGGTACCTGGCGAGAAAACTTCCAGGTACAAGAGAGAAAGAAACTAGTAGTATCTAAGCCTTGACTTCTGTTGACCTTCGTATCATGTTGGCTTCTCGCAAACCCTGAAGCCCTATGTGCAACTGCGGGATCGAGTGAGAGGGAGATGCTGGGCCGTTCTCAGTCACATCTTCATCACGGTCACGGCGGGCGCTTGGCCAGAAATCCATCTTGCCTGTCCCATTGCTAGCGTCAAAGTTACGACGCAGAGGAGACTAAGCCATGGGTGTCTGCAGGACGAGTGTCTGTTTGGTCATCCACCTAGTGGTCCCCGGCAGATGAGCGAATTCGACTTTGCGACCGTCAGTCATCAGCCTGATTGATCTGCGGGGCCTTTTCCACGAGGAGATGTCCCTCTATGGAGTAAACTATCCATCTATCCGGTAGTACTCTGTAACTAACTAGCAGTAATAGGTTAGTAGTAAATAGTAGCTGAACAGGGCACTCTCTGCCTAGTGAGCGTCTAGTTACTACTAAGCAGTAAGTACTACTACTGTTTGGTTTCTAGGTTGATAATGACTAGCAAGTAGTAAGTAGTATCTACTGCGTACTACCTCCCATAAGTACTCCGTACCTATGGTAGTACGTCGTAACAGAATCTTTCTTCTCTCATTGCTCTGATTGAACCACCGAGACTTCCAACACCAACTAATCATCGACGTTTGCTTCGATCGGAACACACCCTCTCTCCCTCAGCACCGGGGGAAGTTGACCAGTCAGGCCGAGTTGTCAACCACCAAAAAAGACGCCGCGAGGAAAGAAACCCCGCACCACCTCCACTTCCCTCACTTCCCTCACTTTCCTTCCCAAACGCCGACTGGCAAACTGCCAACTGACTGGATCGACTCCCACACACCACCTTGGGTCTGTTTTGCCTCCTTATAGGCTGACCCCATTAATGCCCACAGCCTTTGCCCTTCACCGGGAGGGATTTACAATCCAATCACATCAGCAGTCACCTGCGTATGCGCTCTGCTAGCTGCATCCTATTTTGGGGTCGCCTCACCGGACACGATGTGCTGGGTTCGGCAGTCTGTCTGGAATTGGCTCAGCGAATTTGCTGCTCTCCTTCCTCTTACCTCCTCCTCTTGGCTTTTGCTCCTACAGCAGCATCCTTACTACTTTGAATGGACTAGTCCGGTGGAGTGGAACCAGCCCATCGCAAAATGGACTCATTCGTACAGGGATGATACCTCTTCCTATGCGTGGGGTAGAGGAAGAAGAAAAAAAGGTACCTCGGCTGGCTGACTGAACTTCAGGAACATAATGGTTATGGTACCTGGAGGGGCGTCGTCCATGGTTACAGTCCATCATTATCCATCGATCCGGTCCGGGCGCGCGTGAATTAGTCCCGTGGATTGTTCCCGGAAGGTCCCGCCCTTCATTTGTCTCTCTGTCCCTGGGCTGATTCTCCAGAAACTAGTACTACTCACTAGTTAGCTACTACTTCCGGTTCCTCACGGCTGTGAAGGGGAAGGAAAAGGAAAACCATGAATGCTCGTCAGTGGTATAGTCTTCCATCCCTCGCGACGGTTATCTTCTGTCACAAGGTGTATCCTGCGAGTTTCGCGGGGTAAGGCCCCGAATCGTGTAGATCTATCAATTTGATCGGCATCAAACGGCCAAAGTTAAAAACGGCTGATACAGAGCATGGCAACATGGCTGGCTTGCTCATCCTGGGATCGTAACTAGTGGTTGCAGGGCTTGTCTTGTACCACGCAATGGCCTGTCAGCCTATCTCGCCTGTCCCACCCCCAGGTTATCCGTGCCCATGACACGCCGCACCGAACGTTCCTCGCCGAGCTGATTGTTCTCGAAGGAGTAATTGGACCCTGTGCAAAGTCATCTGCACCCGATGTCTGCTGCACGGCTCAGCCAACAATTCGCGCCCGCTGTCCATGCAATGATTGTCCCGGCATTAGTTTGCATGGTGCTGCTTCACTTTCGCGATCCCGCGCATCCAATGGGACGCTCTCAATAGCCTTGGATCAAGGGGCGCTGGTGCGCCAGCTCTTCGTCAAGGCTCGCAAGTGCAGGATTGATGCAAAACGTTAACAGGAGCTTAAAGCAGCTGTTCTCAGGTTCAGAAGCTTTGCCCGGGCTCTGGACCCATCGTCGGCTCGGGCGCGCTGTCAGATGAAGCGCCCATTGTTTTGTCTGCCAGGCCGAGCGAGTCGGTTGATGCGGCCCCGACATTTACCCATAGCCGAAATGGTGTGTAGGTGTGTACTACTACAGCATTCGTATGACACGTTCCGATGAACGCTGAAATCCCGGCCTGTTCCTTTGGGGGTGACAGGCAATAAGCAGGGGGCTTCCTGTGAGGCCCATGCCTGTGAGACTCGCTGACCACAATGTCCTATGGTACGTACCTTGCTGGCTCACATCATCCGCCAATGCAGGCTTTCATGTGGGGTGTGGAGGTCCCAAGTGCCTCGTGGTAGAGGTTACCTACGCGTTCAATGTTAGTGTTGCAGTAAGCATTGCGAAACAGGCCCCCCCTCATCAGCCAGCTGCACCTGGGGGGGTTTTACCACGGCGCCCACCACCAATGATGTTGGCGAATATCAACCCCAACTGCATCTTATCAATCCAGTTTGGCGGCTACCTAGCCTTCTTGAGAATCGGTCGTTACCCACCGCCCCCATCACAAATCGGTGGCTACGGCTGAATGGAGGGATATCAAGGCCTCTTTAGCGCGCTAACCTCAGTTCTGTGGCGTTGCTCGGTTCATCCCACGCCCTGATTCCGGCAGCGTCGTTACGGGCGGGCTGCCTACGTACACATCTCTTAACCCTTTCAGCTTCTGCCTTCACAGCTGACTCTGGATGTAAAAAACTATCTCATGCCTAGCACAGTTAATCACTACACTGAAGAGTGGAGGAAGTGGTGACGGTGTGGGTTCAATGCGCAGCATCAGGTCGACCAGTCGTCTGCCACCTTGCGACACAGTCAGGTGCTCGAGATGGTGGCTCGATGCTCATGCTGTGCGATCGTAGGATGTCTCAGCGATTGAACCGATTCCATCTAGAAAGCGATGCGTGATGCTGTCTCGACCAAAAGAACAATCGATACCAAAAAGGTCAGTCGCAGGTTCTTGTGGCGCACTTGCGAAAGCCTAAAGTGCAAAAAAATTCTCCCCGACTGGGAGTCGAACCCAGGTCTCCCGCGCTTGTTCCTATGAAGGATTGACAAGCGGAAATCATGACCGTTAGACCATCGAGGATGTTCAATTGTAACGTGGTTGGTTATTTTGGTTCGAGAATCTTACTTATAGATTAATCGGAAGATTGGCCAACCCGATTGACATCATAGCTTGTAGCGGAGCAGATCGGTTTCTTTCCAAATCGTGAACCATCCAAGACCCACTGTGGGTAAGGGGCGTCGATAACGATACAGATAACTCGACGATCTGATTCTCCACGCAGACAGCAGCACAGTACACGGCACTTTCCTGAGCTGTTCTGATGTTCTGATGTTCTTCATGCACGCTGCAATAAGGGAGATGGGCTCACAGGGTCCGCTCACACATTGCAGTCAGGAGCCTAAGTAGGGGTTGGTAGGACCCGATGCTCCGTCTCAACCCCGCCACACTTCATCACTGTCACTCATAGGACAGCATCAAGCGCCTCCATTCCGCGGCCTGTTCTGAACAGTCTCTACTCCTGGACTTTGACTGGTGTATGCTCAAAGGAATGGTCATGGCTATCTCCGTTTGGCTCTGGTCATTGACCTCGTACTGCCATACCCGTCTTAGAGTGACTTGGTGATCCTGCTCCAGTATACTATAATGAGCAAAGGATGTCATTCACCCACATCACGTTTCAGATGATCTTTCATGGCCATTCGACACCTGGAACTGCCGTTCTCATTTGCTGCTTATGAATTTCAACGTAAGCTCCCAGTGATCATTGTGCTGTTTACATCCCCTCAGCTACCACGCTGCCCCTGCTTTCCCGATCTTCCACTTGTTCCATCCCGGGTTTCTGGTTCATCAAATGACGGCCCGACACAAGACAAAGAGCAAGGGAGCTAGGGAGCATCACCACCACACCACCGCCTTGCTGCTCTTGAGTCACAGCGTAACTTATTCCCGCTCTTCTACAATGACCGGCAACCAGTCCCAACCAGGCCGGTGTATATACTCAAAACAGTATGGGGCGGAGTGCTCAACATGGCTGAAGTGTCTCCCAAATCCAAGGCAGCCAGTGATGCATCCCACCCGAAACGGTCGGCCATACGTCAAACCGCAGGTCAAAGCTCAAGCTGCCTGCTGCACGACAAGAGATATTCCACCTTGCACAGCCAATCGTCGGAGTCAATGCTAACCTGGCCATTCAGGACAGACGATATGAGCTACACATTCTAGCCGTGGGGTTCATTTCCTCCCTTCTCCTCTTCCCAGACCGGTAGTTCTAGATCGACCACAATAGGGGCATGGAACCGTTTCCCACCCCGATGCGGCCAACTGGTTGCCACGATGGCCGCATTGACAATACATGTTTCGCGTCGCCTTAGATTAGACCCGTCTTCATTCTCAGTGTGTCCTTCCTCTAAGCACAAAGGCCGGAAGGATGACGTTGATTGATCGGCTTCAGAGCCTTGGAATCCTTCAGATGGCCACTTAAAAGACGGTAACAGCAGGGCCTTTTGTGATGATCGGAACAGTTGACTGGCTGGCGCTCGAAGGTTGTTGCCGGCAAAATAATTGTTATCGATTTTGGGTGCCTTCTTGCCCGTGAGATCGACTAGGCTCTGCTTCTTACTGCCCGGGGCAGGCAGTATAACTGGATCCTTATGCTCTTGGACATCCACCGTTGGTGATGACGATGCCTGCGAAGAATACCATCGCACCCTCTCCGAGCCTCGCGACTCGTGTACATGGCCACATACTGCTAGTGATGGCCGAACTTTGCTTAATGCACCCCGCAGGGCTGTGCATCCGACTGAAATGCCTTCAACTCGGCTATCGCAGTGCGAATAAGGCGGCGTATGGGTCACGGTGATATCCGTGTCCAATGGAATGCTGTTCCAAAGCGCACCAGCATCTGAAGACTCGTATCCATACGCCCAAATTCCAGGTGACTGGGAGTATGGAGAGCCAAAGACCTTGAAGATGGTATTTGGGCCGTTAGGCCGGGTCAACCGGATTAGTGCTGACTGGTGCCTGAGATAGACTATTGACGGTGATGCTTGGGTTACCATTTCCAGACACTTCTGGGTATCTTCTAGATGTTGGCCGTGAAAGCTAGACCCGTATTCAGCGTAGAAATCCGGGTCTAGTGTGATATCATGGTTTCCTGATGATTACCGGAACTCAGTACGTATTCTTTGGCCGTCGAACTTCCCCGTCTCCTTCAGCCCTACGAGTGGCCTTCTCGGACAACAAAGACCGTACTTAGAGGCCCAATATTTGGCAGTCTGGGCGGGAGGGAGACGAACCGCAGATGATGATTTTGACTTCAAAGTCAGCTGTAGCAATCCAGCTCATTGTCTTACGCAGTTCAGCAGCGCTCCCATGGTTGGTGAGGTCACCAGCATGGACTAAAACATCTCCAGCGGGAAGCTTGAAGCCGGCCTCTGACGGCGTGTAGCCATGCGTATCAGAGACACAGACAAAACGTGTCTTTCGACGCATCTTCATGCTTTTTGCCCTGGTCCGACGCCCCCTTCGTGTTGAGCTGTCAGCACAGCCCGATGGCGTTACTATTTCAGTGAAGGCTTAGCGAAGCAGTTCTGTGTTACCTAAAGCGGAGCGGACTATAGCTGCAGTGACAAAGGCGTGGTTTCAAATGCTGCCGTCACTCTAAAGTTGTTGTCCAACATCAGCTGTCGTCCATATACGGATGTCAGCCCTAGGCACAGAATTTGCTAGAAGGTTTTAGCACGGTACCCCGAGGATTGTACCACCTGACGAAAGGACAAAGCCTGGCTAATATTCTCATTATGTGGATTAACATTAAGCAGCAGATGGAAATGCAACAAGTTGCGCCCATGTGCAATCAGGCCATGCTGAGTCAGCGGTCTGGCCAATGAACTCCGAAAGTCTTCGCCTGGCCCGTCGGAGGCATCCGGCATCAGCCACCAATGATCGGGCGCCAATCTCACCCCCGAACAAGCCGAGTGGAACCGCCTCTCACCATTACATGATGGAGGAATCACGCTTCAGCGACCTCACGATACAACCTTCCCCTGTTCCCCTCCCTTTCTCACCTCACCCTGCCCAGCCGCCGTTATCTTAGCTGCATTCTTCAGCATCAATATTATTGCTAGTTGTGGCTGAGGGTTTACCGTCAGCCCCTCTGCTTCATGATGCCTCGCTGGAAGCGCAGTAAACCGCGCCCCGAGAAGGATGCAGCAATCAGCGGCGGCAATTCCGGTGTATCCCCCGACTCCCCTACGGCTCATTCTACTGCTGTGGCCTCCCTTCGCGCTGTTAGTGGCTGCTCTCCCGATGCCATGAGAACGACAGCAGTAACCCAAGACCAGGCACCATCCGACCCGGAAGCGATTCGAAAACTAGCCAAGCAGCACGCCGAGTTCGGACCCCTGGGCGATCCGTCGCATCTCTACACCAGCGAGCATCCCGGCGGAGAGATCCCTGACCCGGTCATTGATGAGCCTCCGTACTTCGTCGTTCTGACCACCTACGTCAGCTTTCTCGTGTTAATCTTTCTCGGCCATTTCCATGATTTCGTGGACAAGTGGTTTCGCTCCCATACTTACCGGCACTTGAAGCCCCAGAATGGCTATGCGTCATTGTACAGCGACTTCGAGAGTTTCTATACGCGACGCTTGAAGCAACGGATCAATGACTGCTTTGAGAGGCCGATCGTTGGTGTTCCGGGCAGGCATGTCACGCTGTTGGACCGCACGACTGAAGACAATCTTCATTTCAGACTTACGGGCACAACGACGGATACGCTCAACCTGAGTTCGTATAATTATCTGGGTTTTGCTCAGTCAGAAGGCCCATGCACCGACTATGCCGAGGAGGTACTTCGCCGGGATGGCATTTGCATTGCATCGACTCCCGAGGGAGGAATCACGAAGCTTCATGCCGAGGTGGAAGATCAAATCGCCCGGTTTGTGGGGAAAGAAGCCGCAGTTGTGTTCTCCATGGGCTTTGTGACGAATGCTACTATCTTTCCCTCTATCATGGAAAAGGGATGTCTGATCCTGTCTGATGAACTCAACCATGCGTCCATCCGGTTTGGTGCTCGTCTGTCTGGCGCGGCTATTCAGGTCTTCGCGCACAACAACATGGCCGACCTCGAGAAGCGTCTCAGGGAGGCAATCTCTCAAGGTCAGCCTCGCACGCATAGGCCGTGGAAGAAGATTCTTGTTACCGTGGAGGGACTGTTCTCCATGGAAGGTACCATGTGCAACCTTCCTCGGATACTGGCATTGAAGAAGAAGTACAAGTTCCACCTTTTTGTTGACGAGGCACACTCCATTGGAGCTGTTGGACGTCACGGACGCGGAGTTTGCGACTACTTCAAAGTAGACCCGGCGGAAGTCGACATCCTGATGGGAACATTTACCAAGTCCTTCGGGGCGAACGGTGGCTATATCGCGGCCGACAGAGCTATCATTGACAAGATTCGCTGCACGAACGCTGGTCAAATTCTTGGAGAAGCCCCGTCGCTTCCTGTCCTGGCTCAGATCTACTCCTCGCTGCGACTCATTGCTGATGAGGATCCTCTTCACCCGGGTGAGGGACGCGAGCGGATGCAGCGCCTGGCTTTCAACTCGCGCTACCTTCGGCTTGGATTGAAGAGACTGGGCTTCATCGTCTACGGACACGATGACTCTCCTATTGTGCCATTGATGCTGTACAATCCGGCCAAGATGCCCGCCTTCTCTCGAGAAATGCTGCGTCGCAAGATCTCCGTGGTTGTCGTGACCTACCCTGCCACGCCCCTGGAGCTGTCACGGGCGCGACTCTGCATCTCAGCCGCGCACACCAAAGACGATCTGGATCGCATCCTGCAGGCGTGCGATGAAATAGGCGATGCATTGGAAATCAAATTCTCTTCAGGCATTGCAGGTGGCCTGAGGGAACCATTGTCTGCACACGATAGCTCGAAGGGACCCAGGATGATTGAGCCACCCCGTTGGCCTCTCGAAGAGGTCATTGCGAGGGGTACTTACGACGCAAATCAGCCTTTATACTAGGTGGATGTCACCGCTTAATGTGATTAGAAACAGGATATTCTAACGCCGCATGATGTTCAAGAATATACACGCCAAGAACATATAGCTAATGCCCTCTTTTTGGATTCGATTTACTTGGGCGTTACGGGTTGTTTGAATTCTTTCGCTGAACAAAAAAAAGCCGGCATTTGAAGACGCCAAAGCGTACTTGATGATATTAATATTAATGTATACAATAATGTTTTCTTTCTAGACAATATACAAACCCTCGCTGTACCCGGAGATCTTGTTCATATGGCGCTTACTCTTCTAGATAATAAGAAGAATCCTATGCTAATCAGAGGTCATTTTCTGATTTGAGTTACAACAGGGGTTTCATTTGCTGTTCTTGGGCATGAATGCGACCGTGGAAAAATCATATTGTTGGGTTTGAGTACTAGTAATAAGGAGTGCCTGGACTGTCTGGGGGAAGACTGGGTCTCTATCTAGTGTCGCGATACAGTATTTGCGGGGTGGACTTAGCATTGGTGTCGATGGAACATGACGGCACGCATAGTCACAATGAAGTCTACCATCCAAGGGGTGAAAAAGTCACACCCACTCCCAAAATAAGTAGATATAAGACTGAGCCAACCTATCAGACCTCCATGGCCAAACCCAAAACCACATGGACATTAGGACTCGCATAATAACAACCATAATAGATAAGGAAAATCAAAGGGCCCTTTGACGATCCGGAACGGTTCACGTGACCTACAAGCCACGGGCGTTAGGGCTGTGGCCCTCGAACGGGGCTCTTCCCGCACAAAGAGGAAGTAGCGCCGCTCGCTTAGCGACGACCAGCGAACTCATCCGACATCGTTGTGTGCGTTGAACCTAGCCCACCAACGACAACAACCGCCGACAACATACATCCCAAGGGAGTATCCTAGAGCAGCGCTCTTCCTTTCGCTGGATATATCCTTTTTGAACCGGTGACAGAGAGCAGGATGTCCGCCATCGAGCCAGTCGTGCGTACCGCCCCATCCCGAAACCTATCATCCACATATACATACAATCTCCTTGAAATTGAATATACACACACAAAGACATGTCAAGAGGAAGAGGGCGTCACAGGGCTCTGGAGTTGGGGAATTCACACATATACACAAAAGTACAATTTGTCGCTGACTTGAGTTCTTGGGTTTTTCGCAGGTCGTCATTGACGGCAAGGGACACCTCTTGGGTCGCCTGGCCAGCACTGTTGCTAAGCAGCTGCTCAACGGTCAGAAGATCGTCGTCGTGAGATGTGAAGCCCTCAACATCTCCGGCGAGTTCTTCCGCGCGAAGCGTATGTTCTATCCGACCCGGTTTCTTTCGATTTCATTTTGCAATATGGATTTTTCTTTGGGATGATTGGGAAGAAGAATGGGGAATTGTGCGACAATTCGCGGCATATTGAGGAGGACATCGACAATTGCATGGAAGATTAGTGGAGGAACAAGCAACATGTTTGTGCTGGTGGACAAACGGGCTGACCTGGATTTCGCGATATAGTCAAGTACCACGCCTACCTTCGCAAGATGACTCGTTTCAACCCCACCCGCGGAGGTGAGACTACCCGATGATTTTCCCCAATTTACTATGGGGGAAAGACGATGCTTGATTGTTTTTGGGGACTCAGTGCTGAATCGCTACAGGTCCCTTCCACTTCCGTGCCCCCTCCCGCATCTTCTACAAGGCTGTCCGCGGCATGATCCCCCACAAGACCGCCCGTGGTGCCGCCGCTATGGAGCGCCTGAAGGTTTTCGAGGGTGTTCCTCCCCCCTACGACAAGAAGAAGCGCGTTGTCGTTCCCCAGGCTCTGCGTGTTCTCCGCCTGCGCCCCGGCCGCAAGTACTGCACCGTTGGTCGTCTCAGCCACGAGGTTGGCTGGAAGTACCAGGACGTTGTTGCCAGGTACGTTTATACTGCATTGGAGAGGATGATATGGGGAGATATTGGAATTATTGGGTGCAGAAAGCTAACGGATTCGTTTTTTCTACTTTTACAGACTTGAGGAGCGCAGAAAGGTTAAGAGCAGTGCATACTACGAGCGCAAGAAGGCCGCTCGCCGCCAACTCGTCCACGCCCAGAAGTCGGCGGGTGTTAACGAGCAGACCAAGAGCCAGCTCGCTTCCCTCGGATACTAGATACCTAGTTGCGCGGCTGGTTGCTTGTGTTTGTGATGGGATGGGATGGGATCGCGAAACGGTTCTCTGCGAAGATGGACAGCAAACCGATCGACCTTTTTCTCACTGTCCCTACCTTTTCATGAAATACCACAATTCTTATGTTGTGACGCACATGGAGGCTGGAGAGATCGATTCTTTCTACATAAAAAATACAGGAGTCACTTGGGATGAAAGGTTGTTCAAAATAGCTGACCCGTTATTTCGCGCCGTGGCGGTTTAATCCAAGAATTTCTTTTCAAGAGTTCAAATGACTTTGCTGTGACGAATCCGATGCACCATTTACCACCGCTACTACTACTTACTACTGGCCCCTTGCAATTATGTGTATTTCTAGCCCGCCCCCCGGACGGAGAGAGAGCGAGAGTACTGCCTATCTTGTACTTGAATTGCGATATGCGACTACCCAGGATGCCGGACGAGGCTCCATGTTCCATCACCTACCATGCCGTGCCCACGCGATGCTGCCCCTATTTTGTTCCTGTGTAGAATGATGCCCTGAGCGCCACCGACTGCCAGTCCAGATGATGCGTAGGACGTCACTAGGAGCCGTATCAGTGACCCAGTAAACCCCCAATTTGCCCATTGGAGTCCGATATCCACACCTACGATAACCGATACAGATAGTAGATAGTAGAACACCGCCTGGGCAGCGGATAGAATCACTGGGATCCACCTCTCTTTCAGAATAGTGGTCCCGACTCTGTTAATATCGCCTGGCGTATTGAGTGACCATCTGTCTGATTCCTTGTCACCTCATATCCAACTATATTAACTAATCCTCATCAGCCATTCCGCACTAACATAGTTGCAGACTCTCAAACACCGGTCTCGTCCAATTGATCATTAGCGACCATTAGCGCTGCTTGTGATATGACAGGCTGGTCATTGCCTGACTTGAAGAAATTTCTTCAGTCGGTCTGTGCTAAGCATAATCCCTGTATGTGTTCTGCACACTACGTAGCTTCGTTTGTCTTCAGTATACCTCTGTTGTAAAGAGGGTTTCAAAGCACGGGCATGTGAAGAGTGTGACCAACTGACCATAGATTGAATTCGGTCCGGAGATTGTTCAAACTAAGTGGGTACAGACAGGCACTACTACAGACAGCAACTGTGGGTGGAAACGGATCCGGATCCGGTGAGTTTAGTTCTACAGTTTATTAATGTATCTGTCTGTCTGTCAATGGGTCTAGTGAGGTAATGATGGTATGATTGTGGTATTGAGTAAATAAAGCAATTGATTTTTGCCTGTGAACAATAGTAAAAATGATACTTCTGTAAGATATTCAAACTCTTCATCATACAAGAAGTATTGCTGAACAGACCTTCATTAGTTAGGTATAGATGGTCCTCCCGGCACTAGACTAGTTCCAGCCCCAGCCCAGCCCAAGAATTGGTCCCCGTCCGCTTTTCCCTTCTCCGTCTCCGCTTACCGACGGTGATTGATGATCTGCTTCCCCCGCATCTTGTTCCTCTCTTTTTGCCTTGGCTACTATTCCTACTACTGTCTATTGTAGTACTACTTACTTACCCAGTAGTAATTAGTCTTATTACCCTCGGTCCGGAGGTATCCCTCACTAAAAATCAAATGTCCCCTCCCTTTTCTTCTTCCTCCTCCTCCTTCTCTTCTCATCACATCCCTCTTCTCGTCACACACACACACACACACACACACTTGATATACTTCTCTTTCTTCCTCTCTATTGGCCAGTAATTCCACAAATCTCCAAACATTACTTAGTAGTAGGACTGGCCCTCCCCCCTTGAATCAATTCAACCATGTCTTCCGCCAAAGATAGATTATCCGGCCTCTTAGGCCATCTTATTCCTTCTTCTTCTTCTTCCGCACCATCTACATCCGATACCCAAGGCCCTTCTACAGACCAGGTACAGAATAACAATAACAACAAAGTCAACTTCCACACACTTTCGCCCGCGTATTTCTTGCAGAGGTCGGCGGCGATTGAACCGGACGTGAGTTCATCTACATTGTTTTCCAAACTGAATAGGCGCAATTGATGAACGTTAGCGAAATTGTGGCTAAATGATGTCTTCTTTTGGTGGTTGTAGGCAGAAGCTATTTACCACATCACATCCGATGGTCAGGAACTACGACGAAACTACCTCGAATTTGCGGACCGGGCAAGAGGATTAGCGTATTTCTTGAAGAAGCGCGGGTTCAAGAGAGTCGGCATTCTGTGTCCCAATACCCCGGCTTTCTTGGAGTCTATTTTTGGGATTGGGGCCGCGGGGGCGGTGAATATTGGTGAGTTTATTTTTTTCTATACATTCTGTGTTTTGCTTTTGTTTATTGGGATGTGGGGTTTCATGCTGACGGGTTTACGCTCTGCTAGCTGTGAACTACCGACTCAAAGAAGATGATATCGCTTATATATTTACGCACTCGGAAGCGGAGGTGATCATTGTGGATAAGGAATTCCTGCCCTTGCTGCGCGTATATAGGGAGGCGAAGCCGGAGACGCCCATTATTGTTGATACGGATACCGATGCCGCGGAGGGTCAATTGTCGGGTCCCTTTGACGAGGCGGTTTTGGAAGGTCTCAAGTACGATATAGCTACTGGAAATAAGGGCTGGGAGGGGCTGCAGGCTCAGGCTGGTTCGGAAGATGATGTTGTTGCTTTGGCATACACGAGTGGGACGACGTCGCGGCCGAAGGGTGTCGAATATACAAATCGGGGTGCCTATTTGGCAGCTTTGGGGAATGTGGTTGAGTCTGGGTTGAATGTGTTCAATGGTCGTTGTCGGTATTTGTGGATCTTGCCGATGTTTCATGCTGTTGGTGGGTGCTGTCGAGCTCAATTACATGTCGTGGATGGTTACTGACTTGGTTTGTTAGGTTGGACGTTTCCGTGGGCTGTTACTGCTGCGCGCGGTACGCACTATTGCCTGCGCAAGGTGGACTATGGGCAGATTTGGAAGTTGTTCAAGAATGAGGGTATTACCCATTTTAATGCGGCTCCTACTGTGAACACGCTGCTTTGCAATCACCCGGATGCTGAGCCACTGTCCACGCCGGTTATCGTCCAGGTAGCGGGTAGTCCGCCTACGCCTCATCTGTTCGAGCAGATGACCAGTCTGAATCTGCGTCCCGTGCACGTCTACGGTATGACGGAGACGTATGGTCCTACTACCAGGTGCTATATGCTACCCGCATGGGATCAATTACCCCGAGACGAGAAGTTCCGGAGGATGGCCAGGCAAGGGCATGGTTTCCTGACCAGTCTGCCAACGCGGGTCATCAAGACGGATGTGCCTGAGGGCACTATTATCGACGTCAAGCAAGACGGCAAGGAGATAGGCGAGATTGCGTTTGTCGGGAACATCTGTGCTCAAGGTTATTACAAAGATGCCGAGGCGACGCGGAAGCTCTTTGCTGGTGGCGTTCTTCATTCGGGCGATCTGGCTGTCTGGCATCCCGATGGAGCGATCCAGATCTTGGACCGAGCCAAAGACATTATCATCAGCGGTATGAGGACACCCTGACTATTGTGGTAGCCTTCGTAGGAGTCTGGGCGGTGCATGCTAACGTCGTACAGGAGGCGAAAACATCTCGTCTGTCGCACTGGAATCCATGCTGGTGACTCACCCGGACATTCTGGAGGTGGGCGTGGTGGCGGTGCCTGACACACATTGGGGAGAGCGACCCAAGGCGTTTGTAACCACGAAGCAAGGTCGGCGCCTGGAGGGGAAAGAGGTGATTGACTGGGCCCGGAACCAAAGTCAAATCAGCAAGTTCATGCTTCCGCGGGAGGTGGAGGTGGTGGCGGAACTGCCCAAGACGAGTACGGGGAAAATCAGAAAGAATGTTCTTCGGGACTGGGCGAAAGGGGTACCGCGATGAACCTAAGCTGAGGGTTGGGTTGGGGTGTGCCCAGGAGAGGGGAAGGAGGGATGGTGTGATGGTGTGATATAGAATAGAAACTGCGTGGTGGTTATTTATAGGGCTATATGTAAGTGAGGTTGTTATAGACTGGGAGGGGGACTAGCTATCACGGTCCGTGTACTTTCCGTTGTTCTTGAATAGCATAGACATGTTGGATATTTTGATCCGGACTTTTTTACTGATTCTTCTGAGACTGAAGTTGGGACTTTATGAGCCGTGAAGAAAGTACAGGTATTTTTAGACGCGAGATGAAGATGGATCGGAGCGCACAGACATCCCCGGGGTCTCGGTGATGCCCTGAAGAGGAGAGTTGGACAACAGTGGCATTGTTTGGGCGACGGACAACAATGAAACGGGATATGCAAGTGATGCTCGATGGATGGGTCAAGCTACCCAAATGGATACTTAACACATATCGTCACATAGTGAAGCAAACAAATGTGTCGATAGTACTTTTGTAGCAGTTGTGCTGTCTTTGGGCGCATCAGAGAGGGCAGGCAGGCAGGCAGGCATACTATGCTCCCTTTGCCAGCATCCAGGCCTCGAATCAAATAACCCCAACCCATTGTCTGTGCACAGGGCAGGGCGTCTAAGGGAATGCCTTAATTCTCCCTCAGTTAATTGATCATCTTCACGCCACTAGGGAATGTCAAGATTGGGCAGTGCTGGTTGCTGCTGGGGCTTACCTCACCAGGCACAGTGACGGTGGGCTGCCGACCGGGGCTAAGATTCCCCCTCTCTCTTCTTCTTCTCTCACTCTCTTCTCTTTCCCTTTCACATATCGTCACACCCGCCCATGCGATAGTTACCCGCCGCCCTGCTTTGCCTGCATCCCTCCCTCTCCCTCTCCCTCTCTCCCCTCTTCCTCTGGTAGAACACTCAACTACCTTACAAACCCTCTCCCTTTTTCCTCAATATTTTACCTTTCCTAGCGATACTCTCTACTAAATCTCCAGCTTGCCTCTTCACGACTGGCGCCTTCTCTTGCTCCCCTCGCATGCCCTTCCGACGCTGGGCCTCCTCCACACCCCTCCTCTCTCCCTTCCTTGCCTTCCGCTCGCCTCCTCTCCCAGCTGCAACTGCTGCAGGCACGCCCGACGCGCGTTCTCTTTTATAAGCGCCCTTGATCCGCTGTCCGCTCAAGTGGAACTCGATTCTCCTCCGCTGACTTGGGTCTTATTGGACATCGACCCTTTCCCTCTATCCCTCACGACCCGGCTTCGATCTCAGGAACCAACCGCTCTTACACCTGCAGACCACACCCTCCCCCCCCGGTTGGATCCACTCGCATCGGACCCAACGCGCATCTCACTCGCTCTCTCTCTGTGTGTGTGACGACAGTCGATGAGACACATTCCATGCCGATCAGCCTTCCATATCCACGGTGAGCGAAACCAGGACGCAACTGAGCACGACCAGGGCTCCGTTCCCGCACACTTGATACCCATCCCGACGGCGGTCCCGATGCCCCGCCAAAGGCAACCCGCTCGGTTCTCGAGCGAAGCTCCCTCCGAATCCTCGACTTCGTCGACGTCTCCGGATCGCACTGCGGACGAGGATACCGACTTCTTCACAGCCCAGGCGAATGACTCGCAATCGTCGGTCGGCGTCGCGACCCGTGACGCCCATCCCCATCATGACGCCGACTTGTACCTGCCGCCGATCGGGCGTTTACCCCCGGAGATTCTCATCGCCATCTTCGCGAAACTGTCTTCGCCCTCCGACATGTTGAGCTGCATGCGCGTATGCAGGGGATGGGCAGCGAACTGCGTGGGCATTCTCTGGCACCGGCCCTCATGCAACAACTGGGACAACATGAAAAGCATCACGGCCTCGGTGGGAAAATCGGACAGCTTCTTTCCCTACTCGCAGCTGATCCGGAGACTCAACCTCTCCGCGCTGACGGACGATGTCAGTGATGGTACTGTGGTGCCCTTTGCCCAGTGCAACCGCATCGAACGTCTCACGTTGACCAACTGCTCGAAACTCACGGACAAGGGTGTGTCGGACTTGGTGGAGGGCAATCGGCATCTGCAGGCTCTGGATGTCTCTGATCTGAAACATCTTACAGATCATACTTTGTATACGATAGCTCGGAATTGTGCGCGGCTGCAGGGCCTCAACATTACGGGATGTGTCAATGTAACGGACGACTCGTTGATCACAGTGTCTCGGAATTGTCGACAAATCAAAAGGGTAAGCTTTTTTTGCTGGTATATCTGTACCATGTTTTGGGGGGCTCAACTGACCTAGCGCAGTTAAAATTAAACGGAGTAACACAGGTTACTGACAAGGCTATCTTGTCGTTCGCCCAAAGTTGCCCGGCCATCCTGGAGATTGACTTGCACGACTGTAAGCTCGTCACCAACCCGTCGGTGACATCGCTCATGACGACGCTCCAAAACCTGCGCGAGCTACGACTAGCCCATTGTACAGAAATTGACGACACGGCCTTTCTGGAGCTCCCCCGGCATCTGTCGATGGACAGTCTCCGCATTCTTGACCTGACGTCATGCGAGAGCGTCCGGGACGATGCCGTAGAGCGCATTGTGGCTGCAGCCCCGCGGCTCCGGAATCTGGTGCTGGCCAAGTGTCGATTCATCACTGATCGTGCGGTCTGGGCCATTTGCCGGCTCGGCAAGAATCTACACTACGTCCATCTAGGCCACTGCTCCAACATCACTGATGCCGCGGTGATTCAGCTGGTCAAATCCTGCAACCGCATCCGGTATATCGATCTGGCCTGCTGCATTCGTTTGACGGACACGAGCGTGCAGCAGCTGGCCACATTGCCCAAGCTGCGGCGAATTGGCTTGGTCAAGTGCCAGAACATTACGGACAATAGCATTCACGCCTTGGCAGGATCCAAGGCGGCCCACCACTCGGGGGGCGTCAGTAGCTTGGAGCGGGTGCATCTGAGTTACTGCGTTCGCTTAACGATTGATGTATGTTTCTGAGGGAGCTTCTACTTGGAATTTGATAGCATACTGACTAGCGCACAGGGAATTCATGCTTTACTCAATAGTTGTCCGCGATTGACACACCTGAGTCTGACGGGCGTTCAGGCCTTCCTGCGAGAAGAGCTGACGGTTTTCTGCCGCGAGGCACCTTCGGAGTTCACGCATCAACAACGAGAGGTGTTCTGCGTGTTCAGCGGCGAGGGCGTCAACCGCCTGCGCGACTTCCTGAACCGCATCATTCCGCCTCCTCCGCCGACGCGAGACATGACCGAGGCCACGATGTATGATGATGATGAAGAGCTAGAGGACGAGGAAAACCAAGTGACAGGCTTGATGCATGCGACCGCCGCGACGGCCATTCACGACGACGACTACATTGACATTGGACATACCCATGGTTGATACCCCCGCCTTCTTACAGCGAGTCTATTCACATCGGAGCCTATCATTTTGCACTTGCTTGCTTTTATTTTTTTTTTTCGCCGCCTGTGTTGTACTTATCCGCGTTTTGCTCTGAGGGAGGGGTTGATTTTCCCTCCTGACTGTTGCAATGGCTATTCGGAAATTTGCATCGGATCCGCGGCTCACGGGGAGCTGCCTTCTAGGACAGAGGGAGGCTGTGGTTTATTTCTCTTTTATTTCTCTTTCTCATTCGGTTGGGACGAACATCTCTGTGGATTTTTCTTTTTACCGGAATGATATGTACCAGGCGATGGCATGGTGCTGTAGAGAAGCAATCCACGGTGTGCGTGAGTATATGGGGGGAAAGAGAAAGGGAGCGAGAGACTAGATAGAGTATCTATTGTTATCTGCAAAGGATGGCAGAGCGACCATGTGCATGGACGGAGTTTTAGCTAGCAGCATTTGAATCCCAGCATCGGCTTATTTTTATGGTGACTTTTTATCTCCGAGTGTATACAGTGACCGGAAGTACTTAATTAACAGTTAGTGGTACAACGTCACTTTCCCCACCGCCTTCCCGCCCACTTGATCATCAATCAATCGGCGTCTCCTCACTTCCTCCGCATCGCTGCTCCAACACCAACCCAGCACTCCTGCAGAGCTGCAATCCTCCGATGGCTCCTCTCAGGCTATCGCGAGCCAATCCACTGGCCTTCACTCCCTGGCCTGTCACCCTAATCACCACCGTCGTCTATGTCGCCTTCCTCATCCCACTGCTTATCGTGCATCATGTCGTCCCCTCGCCTCCAACCGCCAACCCCGACGGTCTCGACCTCGCCCAAGCCTGGGCCGATCTCCAAGTCCTAACCGACGGCTTCCACCCGTACAACTCCCGTCGCAACGACGAAGTTCACACCTGGCTCCTGCAACGCATTCATGAGATTCTTGACGCATCACCTTCGGCCGACCAGTACCTCTCCGTCGATGAGGAGAAGCCGAAGCCCGCCGTCTTCGTCTTCGACGATACACAGTCTAACCTCTCCTTCGTCGGCAACTCCCTGTCCAGCTCCAACACCGCCGTTTACTTCGAGGGCACCAACATCCTCGTCTACATCCGCGGAACGGACGATGATCCTGAGAACTGGTGGGAGGAACCCAATGGTGTGCCCTCCGGCAAGGGCGGCGTGCTGGTCAACGCCCACTACGATAGCGTTTCAACGGGATACGGCGCCACCGACGATGGTGTCGGTGTCGTGACTTGCTTGCAGCTGATTCAGTACTTTATGACGCCGAGCCATGCGCCGCGGAGGGGCTTGGTCGTGCTGCTGAATAACGGCGAGGAGGATTATCTGAATGGCGCGCGCGTGTACGGACAGCATCCGATCGCCAAGTTTCCCCATACGTTCCTCAATCTCGAGGGTGCGGGGGCTGGTGGTCGTGCTATCCTCTTCCGCAGCTCGGATACCGAGGTCACTCGTCCGTATATGAGTTCGAAGTATCCGTTTGGGTCGGTGTTGGCGGCGGATGGGTTTGCGACGGGTCTCATTGCTAGTCAGACGGATTATGTGGTGTTTGAGGGGGATTTGGGCCTGCGGGGACTGGATGTTGCGTTTATGGAGCCGAGGGCTAGGTATCATACGGAGCAGGATGATTCGAGACATACGAGTAAGAGCTCGCTCTGGCATATGTTGTCTGCGGCGGTTGCGACTACGGAGGGGTTGGTCTCGGATAAGAGTGCGCAGTTTGATGGCGCGCCCAGGGATGATGCGAAGGTTGCCAGCGGGTC